TCAGGGATGAGGCGTTTGCAAACACGGGAGTGTGCTAATTTGGTATTCTCAGGGGGGGAAGTGACCGTTTGAATCGTGTGTGTTGACAGACTGAGGGAAAACTCTGCAGAGTAACACACTGTAGTTATATCTGATTGTACATGACCGCCAAAGAATTTGGGGGCTCGGGCGCTACAGACATTAACTTGCTGTAATTTTCCCTTCCCATTTGCTCAGGCTGCGGCAAGGATTCATGCAATGAAATGAAATAGGACTTTTTTTTTTTTTTTTCCTGAATGGCTAGCTGGACTTGCTAAAAGATACTGCCACCTACTGTTTCTCCAAATGTAAGGCATGCCTGATATGTGTAGGAGAAATCAATGTTAGTCTAGTTTTTGAACTTGCTCAAGAAATGTGCTCATTTTAAAGTTCCATCGCTTGCAAACTGTACTGTCTTTTCACTCTTCCACTTTATGAAAAAGGGATAAATACAAAAAAAAAATACTTTCAAAACATTACCACATTCCTTAAATCCAGTTGCAATCAAGGAGCCCATCGGAGAAGCAGGGGTGCACTTCCTGGAAATCGTTGCAGCATTTACAATTTCAAACAAAATTAACACTGATAATTTATCTGACAGAAGACAGCTGCAAAGATTTAGAAATACTGCTCTGATGATAGGCATGATCAAACTGTGCAAGTAGGACTCTTTTCTTAAGTGCTCGCGGTCTCATCTGCTTCACTCTGTCACTCCCTCGGCTCCTGATTTTTGCTTTGCAGTTGGGAGGGAAGGGGAAGAGAACAGAGGAGACTGGCTTGCAGAAACTAAGACATACAGTTAGGGCCAGAAATATTTGGACAGTGACACAGGTTTTGTTATTTTAGCTGTTGACAAAAATATGTTCAGAAATACAATTTATATATAATATGGGCTGAAAGTGCACACTCCCAGCTGCAATATGAGAGTTTCCACATCCAAATCGAAGAAAGGGTTTAGGAATCATAGCTCTGTAATGCAGAGCCTCCTCTTTTTCAAGGGACCAAAAGTAATTGGACAATGGACTCTAAAGGCTGCAAGTAACTCAAAAGGCCTTTCCCTCGTTAACCTGTAATCAAGTAAGTAGTTAAAAGGTCTGGGGTTGTTTCCAGGTGTGTGGTTTTGCATTTGGAAGCTGTTGCTGTGACCAGACAACATGCGGTCAAAGGAGCTCTCAATTGAGGTGAAGCAGAACATCCTGAGGCTGAAAAAAAAGAAAAAAATCCATCAGAGAGATAGCAGACATGCTTGGAGTAGCAAAATCAACAGTCTGGTACATTCTGAGGAAAAAAGGAATTGACTGGTGAGCTTGGGAACTCAAAAAGGCCTGGGCGTCCACTGAAGACAACGGTGGTGGATTATCGCCGCATACTTTCTTTGGTGAAGAAGAACCCGCTCACAACATCAACTGAGGTCCAGAACACTCTCAGGGAAGTAGGTGTATCTGTCTCTAAGTCAACAGTAAAGAGAAGACTCCATGAAAGCAAATACAAAGGGTTCACATGTAGATGCAAACCATTCATCAATTCCAAAAATAGACAGGCCAGAGTTAAATTTGCCCCAAAACACCTCAAGAAGCCAGCTCAGTTCTGGAAAAGTATTCTATGGACAGATGAGACAAAGATCAACCTGTACCAGAATGATGGGAAGAAAAAAGTTTGGAGAAGAAAGGGAACGGCACATGATCCAAGGCACACCACATCCTCTGTAAAACATGGTGGAGGCAACGTGATGGCATGGGCATGCATGGCTTTCAATGGCACTGGGTCACTTGTGTTTATTGATGACATAACAGCAGACAAGAGTAGCCGGATGAATTCTGAAGTGTACCGGGATATACTGTCAGCCCAGATTCAGCCAAATGCTGCAAAGTTGATCGGACGGCGCTTCACAGTACAGATGGATAATGACCCAAGCATACAGCCAAAGCTACCCAGGAGTTCATGAGAGCAAAAAGGTGGAATATTCTGCAATGGCCAAGTCAATCACCAGATCTTAACCCAATTGAGCATGCATTTCACTTGCTCAAATCCAGACTTCAGACGGAAAGACCCACTAACAAGCAAGACCTGAAGGCTGCGGCTGTAAAGGCCTGGGAAAGCATTAAGAAGGAGGAAACCCAGCGTTTGGTGATGTCCATGGGTTTCAGACTTAAGGCAGTGATTGCCTCCAAAGGATTCGCAACAAAATATTGAGAAAAAACTTTTTTGTTTGGGTTATGTTTATATGTCCAATTACTTTTGAGCTCCTAAAATGTGGAATGTTTTAAACAAATGTGTACAATTCCTACATTTTCTATCAGATATTTTTGTTCAACCCTTTAAATTAAACGTTACAGTCTGCACTTGAATTCTGTTGTAGAGGTTTCATTTCAAATCCAATGCGGTGGCATGCAGAGCCCAACTCACAAAAATTGTGTTACTGTCCAAATATTTCTGGCCCTAACTGTAAGAAGATGGTTACATCAAGGAGAGGCTCTCTCTTTGACCTATTTTTAACACAAGATGTGCTCCACCCTTTCTTTTATATTCAGGATTCTAACCGATTTAAGAAGAGATTTGGATTATTTATTTAAACTGCACTTTTCATCCACCAGAAAAATATTTTTAAAGAGCTTATTTCATTAACTTTTTATCTCATGTGGAAAGAAAGAAAAGGATTTTTTTAAAACCCTGTAAAATATCAAAAATATCCACCAATACATAAAACTTGTGTGATCTTAAGCAAACTATAGCCAAAACTGTATTTGCTTTGAGTACTCTCATCAATTCTCAGATTATTTAGTGTACAGATCCAAAACAATAAAATGCCCTGACATTGAGCAACCTAATTGGGGAGCATTGCCTTCAGTTGTTTCTCTGAATTATTAACTCTGACAATCTGTCTTGTGTTTTTCGGGCCCTGAGGACCTGCACTTGTACTTTCTGTCATGTATGGAACAACTGAACGCACTCAAGCTCCCTGCTTAACAAAGCGGAGCCATGCAAAGGCATCTCGCTCCCTTCGCGGCTGATCTCTTACGCACAGCTCTTTGTCACCGAGACGTTGTTTTATGTTGACAACTTCAAAGCGACCCACCTTGGAACTTGACGCAGGACTGGGAGGAAACTATGTCGCCCTGGCGAGGGAGAAGCGGGGAGGACGGTAAAGAAATGGACACGCCCTTCGTCAATCTCTTCCGATTTAAACGGCTGCCATCGTGGCCGTGGTGATGAGTGGCACGCTGGCCGCTGCCTCTTTGCTGAATGCAGGGCATGTGCACCTCGACACCTGCAGTGGAATAGATGGGAAAAAGTGTTGATTAGTCAGAACTTTGACCAGGAAGACGGCCATGTCCCTCCTTAGGGAATGCTCGTACATCAGTTCATAATAGAAACATTATAATGTTGACTGCAACAGAAGCATCCAAGCCTAAACTTTGAAATGACAACAAACTCTAAATTCTTCTTAAAATTTACAAATAAAATGTTAAAACGGTGCAGGTGGTTTTGTAATAAATCAGTGTTTAGTAAGCTATTAGTATGATGAGTAAACTGGAAAGATTTACTACAAATAAGTTCTTGTAAATCCGCAAGATCACTAGAGATGAGACGAGGTGAAGTGGTCTTTTTTTTCCCCAAAAGATCAGTCATGCCAGCGCCTACTGTAAACACACTATATGAATTTAATGAGACCGACACAGTTCTCTGTCCTCCACTCTGTTCTTTGCTTCCCCGAGCAGCGCAATATTAAATATTAATGAGCAACATGGTCGCTCTAATACCGAGCTCTACTTATGTCCATGCATCTCCACCGTGCACGCTGAAATCTCCTCTGCACTGCTGCGAGTTGAACGAGGTTTCCTCTGACGGCACCACAAAACATTCAGCAGAGGAACTGCAGACACTCACAAATTCTTTTGGACTGTGTTTAGTAGGTCATGATGTTTGCCTGGCCCCGTCCAACTTTGACTGACACACTTAAAAGTAAAATCAGCGGGACACCGTGTGAAGGACGGAGCACGCGCTGATTAATTAGGCTAATTGGAATGGCTCCATTTGCCTCACCCAGGAGGAGAGAACCTGGATACTGTCGTTTTTACAACCTACAAATGCATTTTCTTGTCTGAATACAAGACTCGGCATTGAAGACAGGCTGGGATAGCCGTGCGTTTTGCACAACACGCCGAGTTTCTCTTCCAACTTTTAGCGCGTCGGTAGTTTTACTCTCACCTGCGTTTCTCTGGCTCTTCTTGTCTCCTTTCTTCCCTCCTCCCTCCTTCTTATTTCCGAACACCGCTCTGAGCATAGCTGGAGTCCTTCTCTGGTCCGCACCGCCTTTAAAAGGAACAAAAAGCCGCACATTAGATTTGAGCACATTACTTCAGGGAAGTCGTTGCGTTTTTTCTGGAGTAGGCTATTCTGAGACCATTACCGTCAGTTTTTTTTTAAAGGTTATTTATTAAACGCAAACAGTCCTGTAGTAACAACGAGAGCTTCGGTTTACCTTTATTTAAGTCTTCCTGGATGCCAGCATGCCTTCACATATAGCCACGGGAAGCAGCAGAGAGACTACTTTCTCTGGCTGGCGGAGTCCAATTAAAGAGTGTGATGATGTGCTGAAACGATCAAGGCAGGCGGGAGCGCGGCTCCTGCGCGGGCACGTGTGCCTCGTGATCTAAATTTGGCTTAAGCATTTTATTTAATTTTTTTTTATTATTATTATTTATATTTCCAGACTTTCATGTTTTCGCTTGAAACATTTTACTTGATCTTTAACAACTGTTATTTATGTCACTGCTGTTGTTGCATATTATCACTATTACAAATGTTAATGTTTGATTAACCTACCACAAAATTGTCATAACAATCACAATCAAGTAAGCAAGTCAGTCAAAAGCGTTCGTGAACTGCAACCCCTTCTGTGAACACCAGGGGGCGGTGATGTTAATAAAATGTTTCTCTTCGTCCACAAGGGGGCGAAACGAGCATCAACCAGCAACGTATAAAAACTGGAAGCTAAGCGCTTTAGCGTCCTTTTCTGAAGCTGGTCGCTGAGAGAAGCTATCGCTAGTTCACAATGTTTTACAAGATTATCAGTCTCGTTTCTTCACATGTCGAGTTGCTCGGTAAGCGTTTCCGAACGGTTCTTTTGGACAAATAGGAAAGTCCTTTGACAGTGATGGTGAGTTTTTATTTCACTCACCAGAAACCACGTGGAAAGTAGCTAGCTCCACATTGCAGGAAACCAACAAGATATGTTCGGTCCTGGTAATTAAATAAATGCTGCGAAGTTGTACCTGGATTTCACTCTTTGGCTGATGTCAGTTTTGTCGAAAGTTTATTAGCTTGGAGTTGTGGGTTTTTAAACTAATAATGTATCGATTTGAAGTGGCTTCCTGTGATTACTGTGAAGATGATTGTCTTTCTGAACCTCCTGATCTGCTCAAGGCAAACAGTTTTTCCGCAGTACATAAACTTTCACAGCATTTAATCTGCTCCACGCCTCTGCAAGTCTCACTATAAAGTATGTCGTGAGAGACTATAGCAACTTCACATTCACCTAAATCACCCATAAACTACAAAAATCAACCCCCAGGTGTTTCTTATGTAAATTCTTTTTTTTTCTTTCTTCCTTTTACCCTCCAGCTAATCGCATTTCATTGGATGGTCACCTCTTCGGAGCAGATTTTGGATGATGGCTGTGTGCATTGACCTAATCGGTGACGTTGAAGCAGGCTAATCAAGCATCATGCTTGGATTCAGCAAAATATGCAATGGGTGAACTCAGAAGAGCAACAGTCATTTTTGTAAGTATATTGGGTTTTGTTGATGACTGAGACTCTTTGTTTGGCTGGTTATGACGAGCATCTTTGACAGCCTGGGCTCTCTGTTGTGAGAGATGCTGGGTTTTATTATTTCAGATGCAACAGTGAACATCCCTGCGCTTTCTGTGCGTCTGTTTTCAATGGTGCCTCAGATTGAAGAGGGGAAAACAACATACTTTGCTGTTTCTGTACTAAAAACTCAATGACATGTTCACGATGTCACTAATTTCAGGTCTTCACGCTTTTTCCTCTTGTTTTAAGGTTGCGTTGAGATGACTCAGAACGGCAGCATGAGCAGTGTATGATGGCAGGTGAGCACAAATTAATGTATTTGAGATTTCGATTTGCATCCACTGATAGACCTGAAGCAGGCTTCTTTGGCTTCTTGGTTTGCACAGCGATGCTAAACTAAGCCTTCCTCATGTTTTCTGACTGCTAAATGTTACAGTAGCCAGATTAGATTGAGGAGTACATTTAAACCTGCTGGGTAAGACAGAAGTCCTAAAAAATTTAGACATTTCATCCAACTGCAGTAAATGACTTTGCATATTGGAGAAATTCAACTTCCAATGTGTAAACGTGACCAGTCACAGAAATGGTCGAGTTGAATATTCCTGAGCTCGGTGCAGGAAGATGACCATTTACTTCATGCATCCACTGAAAATGATTTCTCTTGCAGGAAACGAGGTGAGGCTTTTCTATAGTCACCCTGCGTCGCTTGGATTTTAAAGTCTCCATCATTCTGAAGACTGATTTTTGTGTTTTTATGCTTTTGTAATAAAAAAATGATAAATTTCTAAATTTGTTTTCATTCTGATTGTTCTGCAGTTCATTTCATGTAGCATCAGTTTTAATTGTGAAATGGCTCAAATTTTCCAACTATCCAACAAACATCCATATTTCTTATAACATAAAGCTTTATATTTGCTTGTTTTTAAATGTCACAAAGCAGTCGAAATATCTGGAGATGCCTGGATAAGTGCGATTCAAACTGACATCTTGAATGAACCTGGTGTGAATACAAATTAAGAATATTGACACTTGTAAAGATTAATTTTAGTGACATGTTTTCAAGCCTTTTCCTTGTAATATCATGGCTTAAAATGACAGCCTAAAATTCTCTTCTAGATTTATAGAAGTGTGTACAATATAAGTCAGGCCTTTGAAATGTGTGCACATTCCTACAATGCATATTTAATCAAGCCTTTGATTTTCATTAATTGCCAACAACTGCTCTTAATCCAAATTGCTTAAAATAAAGTGAGGTTTTGGCTTATCTGTATCTGCACATTTATTGTGCTGAATTGTTGAACTACATAAACTAACTTGCTTGCATCTATTAGGTGAGAATTGGGTCCAAACTTTCAACTGAACATTTGACAAATCAGTGACCAGCATAAGCCCTTAATTAAGTTTGCCATTGTTTTAATTTGCTGATAGCTGCAGCAGCAAACAGCCTTTCATTTAATAACTGCCCACAAAGTCTCAATTGCTTCCCTTGATTTTTTGGCCCTAAGGAGAAGCTGCATTATGCTGCACACCCTCATTAAATACAGGTAATCCTAACCTGTATACTTAAATCCATTATGCGTTCAAGTTTGGAGTTAGAAAATATGACATGAGTAAAATACTCACTTGCCAAATAATTGTGCACAGTTTATACTTGATACTTGGGAGGGTCTGCACTTGTATGAGTCCCTGCATCAGCCAGTGGCTCTGCTGAGCATGGCTCCCAGTGCAAGTCTGAATGTACAAGGCTGTCATCACTGAATTTTTTTTCTCTACCCCACTTTTCCTTCTTACTTAACTTTCTACAGCACTCCAAACAACCTTGTTCAGCAAAAATATTTTAGTTTACTTTGCAGGTATTTTACATTAATTAGCTAATTAAGACTTTTCACAATGCTGTAAATTTGAGAGATGCTGACTTTCATTAGCTCAGTCATGATCATCAAGATTGCAAGAGATAATTGTTTGAAATAGTTCAATCTTTAATCAAGTTTTACTTTCAGAAATAAGTGAAAATGTTTTAATGTCTTATTTTAAGGTGTACCTGGCATTATGCCTCTTGTTTCCAGAGGTGTGATGTTGTGCTGTTTATTGCTCACATCAGGCAATATGCAAAGTCATTTACTGACAACTTTATTACACAAATCAAACGTAAAACACTTAAAACCCAGTAAAATCTACAGTGCAGAAAATTTGTTCCATCCAAATCAGATCTGGATAAAAATACTTACCTGCCACATTTTACATGGTTAATTGCTTGCAGTCAAAATACTATACTTTTATGTATTATACAAAAAAGGCATCAAAAGCAGCCTAGAAATAAATCTCCAAATTTAAGCATTGTTGCAGTTCTCTAATGGAAGTGAAGAAGACGAAATGTAACAAAACAAAAGACCTCACAGCTTCCGATGTTGAATCCTAGTGTAAAGAAATAGGTACTCAAAGTCACAACTTGTGTGACAATACAAGAGTTTACAAATTTTTTAAAAAAACCTATTCATCAGTCTTTTCCTCTGCTTGGTAATGTCTGTACTCCGGCTTGAGTTCCCAGGTGTTCTTGTGCGTTCCCTTTACATTGTAGATGCCAATATCACGCAAGATTTCCTTCAGGTATGTCTGTGAAGAAAACCAAATATAGAAAACAGACAAAAATAAATCTTTTAACAGGCTGCATCATTTGTTTGTTTCCTGAAAAGGAATCTTCTGGACAAACAAGATTCTTTCAAATCCCTCAGCACTGATGGCTCAATAATCTAATTTGTTCTATGGGGTTCTCACCACAGGCTGCTTGGTGATGTCCACCAGGTCTTTGATGTTGTAGTACTGGTGCTTCTCAAACGCAGAAAACAACATGTCCAGCACCTGCTGTTTGTCAGATCTCGCTCTCTTGCCCTCCTCTTTCTTTTTCCGCTCGTATTCACGCTGCAGCAAAAGTAAGCAGAGCTCAGTTACTAGACATGAACTCGCATGTTATGCAAAAAGTGGATATATTTCTACATGATGCCTGAAAATTTGTGCATATAAACTAAATGTACGAGAAAAAGATTGTTTACATTGTAGTCGTGGTTGGCTACAGGTTTGTAGTTGGTGGTGACGGGTTTCATCAACTGCTGTGACAACCTCGCTGGTTTGGAAGACTCTTCGATTTGTCGCCTGTAAGATATGATGACATGCACAATGCAAACACACCTGAAATTCACAGAAAACTGCAAAGGATTGTTGAATGGATTAGCTTTTTAACCGTTGTGTAATCTGAAGAAAATATACTCACCGCTTTAACCTCATGTAGCTTTCACTAACATCAGGTCTGCATTCTGCTCTCTGCACCACCACTCCCTCCAAGGCTATTTTATCTGAAAAACGGCAAAGTTATGTCAAATGTTGAATAGAATCAAACTGAATGAATCAGTTTAAAAACATTTTAGTCAAAGTTCAGGAGATCGAAAGGATATAGATTACATCAGATGAGATGCTAAGATCAGAAGGTTCTTTTGCAATTTGCACAAAAAATGTAAGAAAGAAAAAAAATCAGTCTGAATGAAAAAATCTTATTAAAGCTGCAATATGTACTTGATGTCCTCACACCAGCCTTTGCAGCAACTGTGGCTTGTAAGCCTTGTCATCAGTTCACTACATCACTTGCAATACTGGAGCCATTTTTAAGTTCCACTGATGTGTATGTAACAGGAATGAAAGCTGTGTTATTAAAGTATTATTTGGCTGTTCAGTCATGCCCTGGTTTGTTCACTCTTATCAGCTGTGAAACATGGAGGTTGGAAGAGTTTGGCTGCAGTAGAGCCTGGCCAGAATCGTCATCATACAATACAAAATCAATTCTACAGTATATCGAAGGATGTCTGACGTAAAAGTGAGACCATCTGTAAAAAAAAAAAAAAAAAAAAAAAAAAACAAAACGATATAACCAGAACTGCAGAATGAAAATTACCCAAACATACAAATTAGCCAACCAAAGACTGGTTAACAATTTTGAAACCGATAGCTCCTGAGCCCAGTAAAAGTCCACATCTTGGTCCCATTGAGATGCTGCAAGACACCCTTCAATCATTTTTGTGAGGTAAACTTTTCTCATATAAATTGCAAAAGCTGTTAGTTGGCTATTTACATTTTTCACAGAAAATATTTCAACCAAAGGGGCTGAGACTAACAACAAAAGGGTAGGATGCCCTACCTTTTTCCCCAGCTGCAAAATCCATATTTGCCATTCATTTAATAACTAAACGAAAGATGACAAATTTTTTTATTCAAGTACAATTGAATTATTTTCTCGCAATATAAAAGAGATATGAATATTTCTTAGTATAGAGCTAAATATTCAATAGGTTTTAATATATTTTTTAATATGTTTCATTCAGCAAAATCTGTTTAGAAGGAAAACCACACATCAAGTCAATGACAACATTTTACTAAATTCCAAACCAAACAGTTTTCTATAAGATTTCCACAACTTCAACAATCACACAGAACTGTAAACTGCTCACAATGCGTTACATTTGACATTTGGGCTGATTTTTGAGCACAACCAGAATCAAAATATGCAGACCATTAACACAAGTTTATGTCCAACAATTCTTTAGGATAAAACTTTGTTCTGCTTCAGAAGAGCCAAAATGTTACCACCATAAAAATATTCCAAGCTCCAGTGTTGTCTCTATATGGCTTCATGATGCAACGACACAATTTCTCCATGTTTCTAAAGATCGCCACTCCTTTGATAGAGCTCTCACTTTCTGCAAAAATGGAGGACTCACCTGGACCTGCCCCCGAACCTGAGCTGCTGCCATCAGATCTTTCTTCTGACTGGCCTACAGGAAGGGAGGGATGGTACACATGAAAACACAGGGGGATGCAGAACGAGGGGAGGAGGGGATTAATCAATAAGAGCCATAGCCAGGGTTTAGTCCCACACGAAAATGTTAAATCACACAGCTTCATTGCATATTTTCCAACAAGCAGAAGCCAGAGAGACCTTAACGCAAGCAAGCAACAGACATTGTGTATCAGCGCCGATACACACCCAAAGGGCTGCACAGAGGTATATTTTATTAACTGAATTTCTAAAAGGCTTTATGCAGACCTAGAAAATGATGTCTGTTTTATAGGCTCTAAAAATATATAGTGAAGTTTACTAAAAGAAAATCCATGTGACATTAAAATGTATGTTGTTCAAACTGTGTTCAGCCTCTAAAGTGTTTCAGTGCAGCCCATTACACATAGATGGACACAGATGTTTGCAGTCAAAGAAAGGACTGCAGCACAAGTCCATTAGCGCCAAAAGTACATAAAACCAAACCTGAAAACATTCACAGGGGGAAAAAAAAAGGCATTTGAAGCCCAGACTAAAACCACGGGAGCCCATGCAGAAATGAAATAAACTCCACACACTGAGTGATGAATTGTGCCGATTCACCAAAACAGTGACACTGCAACAGTTCTCACAATAAAGCCACTCCTTCTACTCTCAGTAGACTTAAAAGGTGAATCAAAAACCAATAAATGACACACGATCAAACAAAGACACAGCAACGCTCTCACCAAAACAAAACACAAAGCAGACAAGATACAGACTATGATGACTGTTTTCTTTTGAGTGTTCGCTTATCCACTGTATGCGGAACGTTACTGGTATGAACAGTTTTATTAATGTGGACAACGTCTCACTCAAGAAAAAGTCTGTTCTCGGCACACGGAGGCGAGGAGTACAAGCAGGGGAAAGACGTATAGAGCAAGAATGCACAGGTAGCAAAATGGATGCCTTCACCAGCGAAGAT